TGATAGTCACTTCACTTTCACTTCTTAACTCTGCAATCTGATTTCTGCTCTTACATTGTAATCAAATTATCCACGCCAAAACAGTTATGACCTTCCAACCAAATGTGATGATCAAGTCAATGGGCACTCTTCAGTTTCATTTAATAGACATTCCCCACTTTTGAAAAGTCCATTCCGTTAGTTTTGGTGACATTTTTTTTCTCCTGATCCTTTCTAATTGCTCCTTCTCAGTGTGTCATGCTAAAGCCTCTTTCTCTTTCTAACCCCAGGTTTTCCCCCAAGTATTTTTCTCTTTGTTGGTCTCCATGTTCTTCTTAGACAGTTACATCCATAACCATGGCTTTGGATGCTACACGTAAAGGTAAAAACTTCATCAGGGTTATCTATTGAAAAATTTCTCTCCAAGGTCACTAATTATTGCCTAGATCACAAATCCAAAGACCTGTTCAGTCTTGTTTTTCTTGTACTTCACAATATTTGAGAGTTGACCAATCCCTACTCAGCACAATTTTCCTGTACTGATATAGCATCACTGTATTCCCCTTTCTCCAATTAAAGCAGTTCTATTTAACTTCTTCGGTGACAACTTTTCCCTGCTTTCACTTCAAAATGAGAAATCTTCAAAAATATTATTTTTAGTTCATCTTGTTTGGGACTCTCTGTGCTTCCTGGACTTGTATGTCGGTTTCCTTCACCAAGTTAGGGAAGTTTTCTGTCATTATTGTTTCAAATAGTAATAAAATGGCAATTAATACATATCTGTCAACAATTGAATCTACAAACAACATGAGCAAGCAGAACAGAAACAGACTCATAGATACTGAGAACTTTCTGTTGCTTGCCAGATGTGTGGGGGCTGGGGGGAGGGGGTGAAAAAGATGAAGGAATTAAGAAGTACAAATTGGTTGTTAGACTGATGAACTTCAAAGGGAAGGGGGGAGGGAGGGCGGGATGAGATAAACCAAAGAACTTCTATGCACATATGCATAACCAATGGACACTGACAATAGTGTGGTGAAGGCTAGAGGGGGGTGGAGTTGGGGAGGGGGTGGTTAATGGGGGAAAAATGGGTGACATCTGTAATACATTCAACAATAAAGATAAATTAAAAAAAAAAAGGGGGGGGGAATATTATTTTTACCTAAGAATCTTGTGCCATGATTAAACCCTCCCTTGCTTCAATTATCACTGGAAATTATTCATTTCTACATTTCTAATGCTAATTTTTTGCCTGATTTTTACACTCATTTTCAATAATATGATGGACAAACCTACTGAATTTTTAGTTTCTCTGTCTTTATCTCCAACTACACTTTTTTCTGGGGTCCTAGTTCCTACTATGTTCATCACAAAGCTCCAATTTTAAAGGACAAAATTTTAGTGAAATAAAAATGTATGGTCCCAAGTAACACCTGGCTACTCTACAAGTTCAGATTTTTGGCATGTTTTTTAACGAGATATGTGCAGAGAAAATTTTATTAGTTAGCACTTATAAAACCAAAGTGTTATGGAGCTATGCCATTTCTTTTTTAATTGATACTAAGTATCTCTGGGAAAAAAGTCTGGATTAATAACAGCAGCAACAGCAGTAGTAGCTAACACTCACGTAGCACTTTCCATGCCATATTCTTTTTAAAGTACCTTATAACGAATGAACTCATTTAGTCTTCACAATGTCGTGATAGGTCAGGGATACCATAGAGTCTGTGAATAATTCATTCTGGAGAGGTACAATGTGGCAACTCTGAATTAAATACTTACTATTATTTCCATTTTAGAGAAGGACATTGGGCACCAAATGTTAAGTCCAGCTTGAGTCCATCCATGCTGTTAACCACCAAAGTATACCTCTCAAACATTAGTGTTTTTAAAAATATATATTAATAACAGGCATTAACTGAGGTCCAGGTAAGTTAAATGTACTTGAGAGGCTGAAATCTAAAACCTAGATATTTTCATTCCCATTCCATTACTTCTTCAATTAAGCTAACCTAGCCTAATTCAATCATTTAAGATATCAAAAAAAAAAAAAAGCCTCCATGAAAAAATGATCACCTAATTACACTGTGACTTCTAAAATGCCTCAAATAACAATTTCAATTTCCACATAAATTATCCTACAATTTCTTTCTTCAAGCAGTACTTATATTTAAAACAAAGGATTTCAAAAGAAGACAATACATACTTTACCCTTTCTTCTTTACATTGTTCTTCTGGCTGAGGCTGGTCAATGCTATAATGTTCTTCAGACAAAGCCTGGTCAATGTTTTATGGTTCTGCTGGCAAAGCCTGATTAACTTGTTCTTCTGACAAAGGCTGGTCAACTTTTCTAAGTTGCTTCCTGAGACTTTCCTTTTCAGCTAAATAAAGACGTTTCAGATGATCAGGGGATCGATCTCTGAAACGGGATTCCTGTGAAGCTTGAGCCTTCTTATTCCGTCATAGCAATTTCTTGTAATTTTGCTGAATCTTCAATTTTCTTCGAAATGCAAAACCTTGTCCTACATTGAAGAATATCAATCATTAATTACTTTCTCAGAAAATAAGTGGAATGAAAAATGTAGGTGTTGCCTGGCCAGTAAGGCTCAGTTGGTTGAGAATCATGCCTGCACAGAAAGCTTGCAGGTTCTATTCCTGGTCAGGGCATATACCCAGATTTCTGGTTATGCGGCAGAGAGAGCCAATTGATGTTTCTCTCACGTAAGTGTCTGTTTCTCTCTCTCTCTCAAAAAAAAAAAAATCAATAAAAACATTTTTTAAAATGTAGCTGTTAATTTTAAATGAAAGACTTTTCCATCATCACATTATGATGCTAGAATTACTTTGTTTTGCTTTAAAAGGTTATTGCAAGAAAACAAATGTAAACTAATGAGTGAACAGTAAAAAGACCTGGGAAACATTAGTTATGCAGACACTTAAAGTAAGAATCTCAAATAAGGTAAAATGAATAGAGTGTTGCACAAATTCATTTTATTGTACTCACAAATCAAAACAAATTCCTTAATTCATCTAAAAGACTTAATCTAGTTCTTCAATAAATATGGAAAAAAACACCTCACTACTATTATTCTACCTTAGAGAAAGTACTACACAACTTATTTGAAAAGTAATCCAACACAAAAGAGAGATGGTGTATGACTTTCTGAACAGCTGTTTATTTAAGATTTACACATTCCAAAAGAGATCTGAGGAACTTACAAGACAAAATGACAGACCAAAGGAAAGGCAGATAGATCAGTAAGAGAAGATTGGAGGGGTCTGGGTTATTTGTAATCAGCAAGGATATGGGGCAGATTTCTGGCCCTATCCTTTTCTGTAATACATACTGTAATGCATATACATAATACACACACAAATAGACCCACAGATGCTTTCTGCATATAGTTTCATGAAGATAGGTAGAGGAAGAGTTCTGATCAAGAAGGAGGATAAGTCGGGGAAGATGTTTAAAAACACAAAGTCAGCAACACTTCCTCCTCTTCCCATCCAGAACTGAGACATGCACAGCTTCAGCTGGCTTAGGAATTGTGGTCGGCAGTTTGACAGACATGAGCACAGCAAGGACAATGGGCCAGGTACAGAAGGTCAGGAAGGTGGAAAGCCCTGGTTGCCTAGCAAAGGACAACTGTAGTGTGGGACCTAGCCCCTAGGGTGACCTTTTCTCCCCTATCATATGGTTTGGACCCCTTGAGCTTTTCTCCCTGGAGATAACAGCTAGACCTCAGTTCTGCTTCAGCTCCAGGCCCAGAAACGCAGCAAAACCAGACAAACAATACCAATACTGAACTCAAAACCAGTTTCATTGAATAATGACCACCTGCCCTGGCCCCCACCAATCAGTAGAGACCCAGACCCTGAAAGGACACACCTGGAAAACTACTGAATATCTATTCAGATGTTCTCCTAGGGCCTCCCTCAAAATCTTCACCCTTAAAACCGTCAGGAGAGAGGACCCAGACGGCTCTCTCCCTCCCAGGAGCACCTCGGAGCCTCCCCAACCCCACACCCCAAGCCCCTCACCTAGACCTTTCTCATTCCTAAACTCCAAGGGCCCTTCCTGTGCCTAACTTGTTTCCTAAGCCCATTTCCTCTACAAATGACTTCTTCTACCTCTGTGATTTTCCAAATAAATGTGCTCTTACAGCTTGAGTCTGGGCTCTGAATTCTTTCCCAGCCAGAACTCAAGTACCGAGGTTGCTGAACGCAGGTCCGGTCTGAGCCCACTGGTCTAACACCTGGTGCGGGTCTCAGCGCCCCCAGTAGAATGACTTCCTCTGCCCTCAAGCAGGGACTGACCTGGTTCCTAAATCCTGCCTCCCTGTTTCGGTGGGTGGCGTTTTCTTTTCTTTTTTTTTTTTTTAATTTTTTTATTTTTTATCCTCACCCGAGGACATTTTTCCATTTTTTGTTCAGGTAGAGTGGGAGGGAGAGAGAGGAACAGAGAGAGAGAGAGAGAGAGACATCGACGTGAAAGGAACACATCGAATGGCTGCCACCCGCACGACCGACCAGGGCCGGGGACAAACTGCAACCAAGGTACGTGCCCTTAGCGGGAACCGAACCCGGGTCTCTCTGGACCGCAGGCCGACGCTCTAACCGCTGAGCCAAACCGGCCAGGGCTGGGTGGCGTTTTCTAAGACTTCACAGCCTGAGGACTGCAGGGCTGCCTTCTCACCCTCGCGGACGCTCCCCGCGAAGCCCCGAGAATGGTTAGGTCGCCACGTCCTCTGTTTCACACGCTTATTCTTGAATCCGACCGGAGAAATTCCTTCGCCACGAGTCTCAACACTCTCGGTCTGCCACCTTGCCGCTGGCCTCCTGGGCGCCATGGCACACGAAACCGGTCTCCAGAAAACCGCAACGGACGCGGTCAAAATACGTCATCAGCCCGAAGCAATCAATCGCCCAACTTCAGTGTGGATCAGAGCTCTACTTATCCGGCCTGTGCTACTTTCAGCAGAGCCCTCGCCTCACGACCACGTTTGCGCCACCTACAGCCCGGGAGGGTGAGCGTCATGGCGGCGTCGGGCCCGCTCCCGGTGACCCAGGACTTGTCCACGTTGCGCGCGAAGTTGCAGGGGCTGCTGCGGTTCCTGAGAGAAGCCCTGTCCATTTCTAATGCACATACAGTAGACTTCTACACCGAGTCCGTGTGGGACCAACTGGTCGACTTGCCTCCGGAGACGGTGCTGGAGGTGCTGAAGAGGTCGACGGCGGCGGCGGAGGCGGAGGCGGCGCGCCCCCTGGTGGAAGCCGACGGAACACCAGGTGAATGGCGGGTGGGAGGGACGGAGAGGCGGAGAGAAGGCACTGCCCGGGAAGCGTGCCCTCTAGTGGAAACCGGGCGGAATCAGGTGAGTCGGGGGCGGGCCTGGGAGGCTGGTTTTTTGGGTCCCCGAGGCGGGGATCAGGTTGGAGGGGTGGTGCGAGGACACGGTTCGCCGGTTCACTTTCGGCCCCGGGTGCTTGTGTATTTCCACAATTTAACAGAACTAGAAACTGGCAGGGGTGTTCATTTAGTAATTCAGCGATACTTTTGACGGGAAGGACAAGGGGAATGGTGTTCTATAGATTCTCTGTGGAAACACGGCAGAAGGTGAATCAACACTTAGTACATCGAGATCATTTCAAATGATGATAATAGCCAAGAAGGAAATAAAAACAGGCAGATGTGATAGCAGTTGTACGAGAGGAGAATGCTTTAACTCAGGTGGTCAGGAGCATGAGAAGGTGCCCGCCTGTGGCGAGCCGGGAAGGGATTTCAGGCCCTGGGAACCGGAAAGGCCCTGCGGCAGGAACCGGGGCTGGCAGGTGCAGGTGGTGCCTGGAACCAGGTGCGCAACCGCGCCAGGTGTGAGCAGGGAGGTGAGTAGGGCCGCACCGCGCAGGGCTCTCTAGCCTTGGGAGGACTTTGGATCTTAAGTGTGAAGGGAAACTTTGGGGCCATTTAGTAAATATAGTGACCTCACATTTGAAAAAATAACTCTGACAGTAATTTGAAGAACAGACTAGCAGGGCACACGCTGAGAGGCCAATTAGATGACTCTTTCTTTCTTTTTCTTTTTTGGTACATTCCCCTAGTGGGGACCGAACCCGGGACTTTATAGCCCGTAGGCCGATGCTCCAACCGCTGAGCCAAACCGGCCAGGGCGAGGTAACTATTTCAGTAGCACAACAAAAAGATGATTATATCGTGGACGAGGTTGGTAGCGGTAAAGATCTGGAATATTGACTAGTTTCTTTGAAAATTATTTATAAAGTATCTACTATGTGCCATGAGTTTTTGTAGGATGTGGGGTTTTTGCCCTCAAGAAACTTAGATTCAACCAAGGCTAGTATATTTTGGAAGTAGAATGATGAGAGAACGCTAGCAAGCTCCTGGGTTTTCTCCTCCTTTGTTCCCAACCTTGCCCTAGCTAGTGAACCTTATTCATTGAGATTCTCTGAACGCAGAGTGCCCCTGGAGGAGCCCCCTATAATAGGACTTGGTAAAGATTGGTTTCTTTCAAGTCACAGTTTGTTGTTGAAAATGTTAGGCACGTCTTTAGTTTGCTCTCCTCATATCCACTACTTATAATGTGACAACTTAAACTCCAAAAGAGCAGAGACCATGTCTTTCCTATAAACAAATGTAGTCCCAGGAACTAGTGAGATACCTGGCAGGCATTAAATGCTCAGTGCATATTTGTTACATGAATAAATTAATGAATGACTCATGGTAGCTTCCCTCAAAAGAAAAGAAACTACTTTTAAATGTAAAGTCCAAGATTTTCATATGGGTTTAACTTTGTCTTCATATAATAGAAGAATTAGATTGTCTTGTGTATTCTAATAATAGGATTAATTGATATTTACTATTTATTCTGCAGTGGACTGTTTTCTTGCATATTTTCTCTTGTAATCTTTACATCAGTTTTGTAGGATGGGTTCTGTTTCTTCCAAGTTATGAAATTGCAACTTGAGGAATTAATTTGCTAAAGACACAGCTCTTCATGGAGTTTCAGACTGCTGACTTCAGAGTCTGAGTGAGCTCTTTGCCACCTTGATAAAAGTCTACTCTGAAATATTTAGTGATGAATTCCAAAGGCCATTATTATCAAAACCAATATTTTTTATGACACTAATGCATTTCTTATTTTTTTTGTTTTTATTGTTTCCCCTTTCAAGGATGTAAGACTTGTTCACTGCTGTATACCCAGTGCCTAGAACAATGCATGGTCAGAGTAGGTGGTTAGTAAATATTTGGCAAGTAAGTAAATGAACGAATGACACCACTTTTTAAGCTAGGGATACAATTCTAACATCTTGTGGGAAAATCTTATATCTATCCAACAAAAAGGAATCTCGGCTTGATTGTTCACCTTTGAAATGTTGTTAGCTCTGCAAATTATTTTACACAAAATATTCAGATTTACAGATGGTCAGCTGCCTATAGTGTTAAAAAGACTGATTTTTAAAAATAAATTTTGCTTGTAAGGAATATTAATTTTTGTTTTTGTAGAGATTACTTGAAATGGGTATTTTCTCCATTCCTATATGCAGCCTGCTTGTATCAGAGAAGGGCAGTAGAATCCTTTGACCAGATTTGTACTTTATTTAAGAATTGTTAGCTGCTATTTACAGGTTAATTTAGCAGTTAAATTTACAGACTTTTGAGTCTGATAGGGTTTAAACTCCAATTCTACCACTTATCAGCCATGTTGATCTTGGAGAAGTTCATAATTAAGTAGAAAAGGAAAGACTAGATAAGGGGAAGTGCAGAAGGAAAGTATGTTTGCCATTTTAAATGGGTTGTTTCAGCAAGACCTCAAGGAGATGACTCTGGAAAAAATCTAAATACGGGGAAAAATGAGTCATGAAGCTCTCTTGAGGGAAGGCATTCCAGATAATGAGAACAAGGAGCTCAAAGGCCCTGAGGTGGGAGCATGCGTGGTCTGTTTAAGGAGCAGCAAGGAGAGTGGAACAGATTTCCACTAGGGACTCACACGAAGTATGGTTTTCTGCTGGTTTTGTATGAGGAGTTACAAATAAACACAATTCCCAGTGCGACCACGAGTTACTGCGCAGTGTATGGAAGTAAACTAACAGATGTTTGGCACAATCATTTGGTGTTTTATGAGACCAGGTTGTTTCTGAAAATCCTCAGTGTAGCCATTTCAGTAGATTTCTCTTGCCAGGTGATCTTCTGGCCCAGTCAGAGTCCTGAAAGTTTCTTCTCTTCTGTTCAACTAAAATGTCCTAGCTTTTAAAAAAAATCTTGATTCTTCAAAATGAAAAGGAAAGATGTTAAAAATAACTGTATTTCAAGGGCATAAATTATGAGTGTTATAGATTGAATATGTTGAAGCCCTAATCCCCATTGTGATTGTATTTGGAGATGGGGCCTTAAAGGAGGTAATTAATGTTTAATGAGGTCATTTTGGTGGAGCCCTTGTCCAATAGGAAGGGGATGAGACACCAGAGCACACACTGAGAAAAACTGTGTGAGGATATAGCGAGAAGGCGGCCATCTGTAAGCCAAGGAGAGAGGCTTCACCAGAAATCTACACTGGCAGTACCTTGATCTTGGACTTTCAGGTTTCAGAATTGTGAGAAAGAAAATACATGTGTTGTTTAATTGACCTAGTCTGTGGTATGTTGGCATGGCAGCCTGAGCAGATGAGTACAATGGGCTTTTCAGACAGACCACCTGGATTGAAGTCCTAGCTCCCCCACTTGTTAGCTTTGTTAACTTGGGCTTGAATTGTTTGTGCCTCAGTTCCTCACCTATAAAATGGGAATAATTGTAATACTTACTTGATGGAGTACTGTGAGAGTTAAGTGAGTTAATACATAGAAAGGGTTAAGAAGATGCCTAACAAATAGCAGCACTGAATCCATTCATGTGTTTTTGTTTTTGTTTTTGTTTTTTTTTTATCCTCACCCGAGGACATTTTTCCATTTTTTGTACAGATAGAGTGGGAGGGAGAGAGAGGAAGAGAGAGAGAGGAAAACATCAATGTGAAAGAGACACATCAAGTGGCTGCCACCCGCATGACCAACCAGGGCCGGGGACAAACTGTAACCGAGGTACATGCCCTTAGCGGGAACCGAACCCGGGTCTCTCCGGACCGCAGGCAGATGCTCCAACCGCTGAGCCAAACCGGCCAGGGCCATTCATGTGTTTGACTAATGTTTATTGAGCACCATCTACCTACCAGACCCTGTTCTAGGCCCTACTCACAGGGAGCTGATGTTTAGTAAGGGTAGATACATAGTAAACTGTGAATATAATATCAGGTTGCATTAAATTCCATGAAGAAAAGTATGACAGGCAAGGGGAAGTGAAAATGATGGTGTGGTGGAGAGAAATGTCATTTTAGGTATAGTGATCATGATCGGGAAGTCTTATCTATCAAGACAGAATTTGAACAGAGACTTGAATAAAGTGAGAGAGCCAGTTATGCAACTGTCTGAGGGAAGAGTGTGTCAGGCGGAGTGAAGAGCAGGTGCCCAAGCTGGAGGATGCCCACTGCGTTGGAAGCAGAGCTGTGGGGTTAGACTGGTAAGAGATGAGGTTTGAGAGGTGGCCTGGGGCAACTTCATGTAGGGCCTGTGGCCACACTAAGGGCTTGGCTTGTACTCTGAGTGAACTGGAAAGCTCTTTAAGGATTTTGTGTGGTGGTGTGATATGTGATTTATGTTTCAAAGGAATGACTGACATGTGTGCAAAGAAGAGGCTATTATTGGAAGGTTAGGAAGCAGGAGGACAAGATAGAGGCTATTAAAACAGTTCACGGAGGCTTCAGGGAATGGGAGCTCAAAGAAGTCAGGCAGTTTCTCTTGCAAATGACAATGATAAACATTGGCCAGGTTCCTTTTGGTGAGCATCTGTGTTGTTAATTTGCTGTATTTTAACTGACCAATACCAAAAATGTATACCCACGATCGATTTTTATTTTGTAGAGCTTTCCCTTAAATTATTTTTATTGCCCGGCCGGTGTGGCTCAGTGGTTGATCGTTGACCCATGCACCAAGAGGTTGCCAGTTTGATTCCCAGTCAGGGCACATGCCCAGGTTGTGGGCCTGATCCCCAGTGGGGGGGATGCAGGCGGCCAATTTATGTTCTCTCTCATCGTTGTTTCTATCTCTGTCTCCGTCTCCCTTCCTTTCTAAAAATCAATAAAGAAAAAAAAAACTTTCAGGAAAAAAAATTGTTTTTATTGCATTTAGTAGATTAAATTTCTTTTTGGCCATCCTAAGTAGCTTTTGTTGGTTGTGGTGATGGT